GACGACGAGTTGTCCGAGGAAGATACCGAGTCGGATGATCCTCCGCCAACAAGGAGGAGACGCGTCCTGCGGTGGGCCAGCTCTGGCGAGCCGGTCCAGCCCGGCAAGACCGCGCAGCGGTAACCGGCCCAGGAGCAACTCGTGCACCAGACTAGGGTGATGAAGGCCGCGACGACGACAAAGACGGCGAAGGCCGCCGTGGCAAAAAGGACGGTGAATGTCTCCTCCTTGTCCAAGCGGCATCGGACTCCATCTCCCTCTCCTTATGCCTCGGTCAGCACCCTAGAAGCCGACTTTGACCTCAGGTCTTTTAGCCCGAAGAGGAAGAGGAAGCCAGTGGAGGAGGAGGTGGAGAACGAGTAAGTATTTCGCTCCCCTTCTCTCCTGTCCTTACGCCTGCATCATCCTCACTGGATTTGGTGTTGTCTTCATAGGGACGCGGAGACGCTAGCCCAGAGGGCGGCGAAAAGGGCCAAGGTCTCAATGGGCGGTGAGCCCCCGGTGGGTACTTCGCATACGCCGTTGGTGGTGGAGAGCAGCCCGGATAGCAGCCCCTGCCTTAGCCCCCAGCGTAAGCCCATCACTCACTCCTTCATCGATGAACACCAGGGTGCGAGGCGTTGATGCTGACCTTGCCGGGTTTGTAGGAGAAGAACAGCAGCAGGACGAGCCACTGAGGGCCACTCCTAACATGCCACCCCCTCGACTACGCCGCCCCGAGGGGCGTCCCCAGCAAGGGCATCCACCACCGAGCCCACACACATGGAGGAGGAGGAGGTGAACTTGGGTGCCGGGGATTCTGCCCTGGCAACAAAGGCTGGCAGGGAGGGCTCCACTTCTTCCCAGCCCGGTGTAGGTAAGTCACTCCGTCCATGTTCTTTCTTTTTCTTGAACCTTGACCTTGGCTCTGTCTTACTCTCCTCCTCGGTATCTAGATTCTTACTCAGCGGAGCAGGAAAACATCGATATTGTCATCGAGGAGGTTGCCAGGGATGCTGAGGCCTACAGGATCAGCATCGAGGAGGCCACCAAGACAGCATCCGAAGAGGCCGTCAAGGGGCCTGCCGGAGGGACCGGCAAGGCTGATGCCGAGGAGGCCAGCAAGGGCGCCGCCAAGGGGCCTGCTGGGGAGGCCGGCAAGGCTGCTGCCAAGGAGGGGGTGGTCGACGATCAACCCTCCTCCTCCGCCGCCTCTGGCTCGGGCAGGTACTTGAAGGTGGGCGACGACCTGTCCGTCCACCTTCCAGGGACGGCGGGCACCAGGGCGCCGGCCGAGGGGGAGGTGTTTGATGACGAGGCGCTAGCCTCCGTCGGGCTCCAGATTGTTGACGAACCGAGCGCCGGTGGTGGCGGTTCTCAATAGGAGCGGCTTCTTCGGGCCATGAGCACCGACTTCCAGAAGCTCCAGGCGCTCCACCGCGCCCGTCTGGACAAGGTGAAGTCCAAGATGGCGGTGACGGACAAGGCGGAGGCGGACTTTGAGGAACGCATCGCCGAGACGCATGCCTAGTTCCGCCAGGCCCATGAAGAGCTGAAGGCTGCCCAAGATCTGCTGGCCGAGCGCAAGCAAGAGCTCATCTTGAAGCAGGCTGACGTCGAGAAGGCCCAGGAGGCGGCGAGGGAATAGGTCGCCAAGGACGAGGCCGCCCGGCACCAGCACCAGGCCGAGCTGAACTCCAAGGAGGAGGACCTCGCCGCTCGTGAGGAGGCGCTCGCTGCCACACTCCGCGGCAAGGATGAGGAGGTCAAGAGACTCATCGCGCAGCGGACCCTGGGGCTGGAGCAGAGGCACAAGGAGGCACTCGATGCTCAAGCCCTGGTCCACGACGACAAGGTGAAGGAGCTGGAGGTGGAGTGGCGGCCTGAAGAACAAGGCCCTGGAGCTGGTGAAGGAGAAGGACACGATCAGCAGCGCCTTGGCGGAGGCGCATGCCGCAGTCCTTGGCAAGGCCGAGCTACTCTCCCAAGCCAACGACTCTGTCAACGACCTGAAGCTGAAGCTGGAGGACCTTGAGGGGATGCTTTCAGGAGCCAGGGCCCGGGAAGAGTCCATGGCCAAGGACTTGGAGGAAGAGAGGCAGCTGCGAAGGAATGACGCCACCGAGCACAAGGATTACACGGAGGGCATAAACTGTTGGATCAACCGCCTTCCTGACGTCGCCGATAGGATCACCGCGAAGCTGGCTACCATGGGGATGCCAAGTGTGAGGTATGCCCCGGAGCTGAACGTGAGTCCCAATGCCGCACTGACCCTGTTCTTCGAGGGTATTCTTGAAGCCCTGGAGCAGTTCCGCTCCAACCGGGCAACTTATCCGGCCAACGAGTCCCAGAGGCTCTACCGGGGCGCCCGGACCAAGGTGCTCACCAAGGTGGCGTTCTAGAACCCCACCATCAACTTTACCGACGCGCTGGAGAGCTTGTTGGAGGGGACGGGCCTCGCGGCGCTCAAGGAGCGCATCAAGCCCGTCATCGACTGTGCCGACGGAGTCGAGAGTGTGGAGGGCCAGCGCCTGGACTAGGCACCCCGTTTCTCGTTGCCGCTGCGAGTTCAAGACCAAGACAATTTTATCTTAAGTTAGAAACGCAGTGATTATTTGATGTAATATAACTCTGCAGTACTTCAATGTGATGCATGCTATTCCCCTATTCGATCTTTCTTGGTATGTACGCCCTACGCTGAGTTGGATGAGCTTGCCGGCGCGTAAACCCAAGCCGCAGCGCTTTGAAGGACAGATCCTTAGCGGCTGGCTGGGTGTGCTTGCCGCCAGGCAAACCACCTTACCGCTCTCAGCGCAGATGCTTGAACTGTTGAGTGGACTCGAAACAGAACAAGGGCGTTGCCTAAAGCGGATAGGCCACCTTGCCGCCCTCGACGCGGCCGCTCGAACTGTTGAGCGGACTCAAAACAGAACAAGGGCGTTGCCAACAGCGGAGGGTCCCATCGCGTGCAGGTTTTCCATACCAAGGGTGAGACCTTTCGAGGGGAATAACTTAGATAAACGAAATTAGCCAAAATTTTGCATGACTTAGCTTCTCGTGGCCACACGGATGGCTGTCGAGGCTGCGAACGGCGCCAGAGGGCGACTGATTGACGTCGCCCTCTCCCTTCGGGCCATCCCCATGAAAGAGTCGACGCATCGGCTCCAAAACTAGATTTTCACAACTCGCGCCCCCTACCTGGCGCGCCAAAGATGTCGGCGGAAAACGACACCTATGGGATCACTGGAATCCCTTCTATGGTCGGCGGGCGCGAGGTTGTGGAAAGAGCGGGTCTAGGAGTCAGCACAAAGATCGTTTACCCAGGTTCGGGCCGCGAGGATGCGTAAGAGTGTTCTTGAGTTCTTGAACTAGCTACGGCCCGTGACTTGTTCAAAAGATCCGAATCCCTTCCCAGTATGCCCCGGGCCTCTTTTTATAGTTCAAAGGGGCCGCCGCGGTGGCACACAGGAGGTGAAAAGTGTATATAGTGTACAATCTTATCGCCTCACACCACATGACAAAACACATTAAATGTGCTACTTAGGTGTCCTCTTGCTTTATCGGGGATGGCAACGAAGCCCGTCCCATCCGTCGCCGCTTCGCCTGGCTTCGACATGCGTCCAGGCCAATGAGGCGTGCAACGCCATGTAGGCTGGCAGGCTGCTGAGCTGGTGTGGTGGCAGAGTCTTCATGAAGATCTGCATGCCACCACGCATGTGCTTGACTGGTTAGCTTAGGAGCCACGTACTGCCACGTGGATACTTGCTTAGTTGGTGGGTCGGTCGCTGAGTTGGGTCGACGACGGGGCGGCAAAGCCTTGCCGTGGTCTTGCTAATATTCTCGGCAAGGATCTTGCCGGGGCCTTGCGAGTGCCCTCGGCAAGAGTCTTGCGGGGGCCTCGTGGGTATCTTCGGCAGGAGCCTCGCCGGGGCCTCGTGGGCATCCTCGGCAAGGAGCCTTGCTGTTGTTTTGTCTTCTGGTTCCTATCTAGGCCTCGCAGGCCCTTTGTCTTCACAAAGATCTACATGCCACTATGCAGGCCCTCTCCCGAACTTTGGTTCCAATGTTGTCGATGGTGTCGGAACTCTCAGGCTCAAGGGTGGTGGCCTTGCTGGCGGTGGGTAAGTTGCCCCGGCAAGGCTATTGCCGGGGCTGCGTAGGCCGCCCCAGCAAGGGTCTTGCCGGGGGAAGCCCATCTTGTCGCTTTACCTTTTGCGCCCCTGGTTTGAGCGCCGCTTCGGTAGTCTTGTACTTTTGCTTCCCGCCTCTGCCCTGCTAAGCATGGCCACAGGTGCGGCTTTGACTGCCCGTGCACAAGTAAAGGGGCACAAAGAGGGCCCCTACTTTTGTACACCGACAGATGGGGTTTGGTCGACGAGGGGAGGGGCTCACCAGGGAGGTGGCCTTCTGCTGGTCTACATATCATTTTTTTTCATTTTGCTTGTTGAGAGGAGGCATATGTTGCGCGTCTCCATCATCTTCCTTCGCTTCGTGCCTAAAAAGCAAACCCCACAATAAAAGGCGGCCCGACAAGGCGGGCTAGTGCGAGTTTATATGGGCCACTTGCACCGTTGCTGCTCTCTCCGTTCACAAATATAAGATGTTTTGAATATTTCAGTATGAATTACAGATTGAAATGAATGAACAAACACACTAGAAAGTGTCTACATACATCCGATTCACAAGAAGTTACACCATTGTATATTGTACTGTATTTGTGAGCAGAGAGAGTAACAAACAAAGTCTGCTCGTAGAATCGAGTTGCTTGTCCTGTTAAAAAAATCGAGTTGCTTGTGCCTCAAGTCTGACAAGTTTCTAGTGTGTGCGATCAGCGATGGCGTCACATGCTGACCCCGAAGATCTTGATTGATTGAGTTTACACACACACCCACGTTGCTCTTAATAAATGCACAACTCAAGAAGCAATATTATCTGACAAGCTCAGCTCAGCTCGCCTCGGCTCATCTCACAGGTGTAGTGTACAGTGTACTAGAGACCGAAAACTTCACCCGTCAATTGCCATGGCGCTCAGCCTTCGAGCCGCCGCATCCCTCGCCGCCCCGCCGGCTCACCTGCGTCCGCGCCGACGCGCCACCTCTGTCCCTGTGGTCCGCGCCACTGTGTCCCCTCCTCCGGCGCTCGACAGCAGGCGGCGCCCGCAGAACGTGTCCGGCGAGTTCTTCGTCGGTGAGCTCCCTCATGCAGTCATGCTGATGCTGATGTGATCTCGTCCTCGTCGTCCCAGCTGACGGGGTCTTGGTGTGCAGATCACCGGTGCATCGACTGCGCCACCTGCAGGTGGATGGCTCCGGAGGTGTTCAAGAGGGTCGACGACCAGTCCGCCGTGGCGGCGCAGCCCACCTCCGAGGAAATCAGGACCAAGGCACTGCAGGTAGTAACATCTTTGATCACTGTAATTAAAATGCCTTCTTCGATCAGTCAAGCATAGCTGCAATTAACCGGTGTATTTTGGATGTGCAACACCAGACAATAATTAACTGATGGTATTTCTCTGATCCGATCACCCAATTTAGTTCATAATAATGCTTAATCCTGGTAAAGTTACTGGATTTCCTTCTTGTTCTATAAAAAATGATCAGTCACTGGACAACTAGATCATGACATTTCCATGTATGTTTGCAGGCCTTGCTCTCTTGCCCTACAGGCTCTATCCACACTGACAAGCCTACAGAAGACATTCTCCAAGTGCAGAACACATTCCCTCTCCCCATCGACGACGATCTTCCCGTATGTATAAACATTTTCATACTATGTGTTATCTCTTTTCCTTTCTTTACTCTATTCATAGTCTTTTAGCATAAAATAATAAATTGTATGCTTGGCTGTTCAGGGAGTTTACCTCTGTGGTTACCATTCTGAGAACTCATATGGAGCAACATCTTATCTTATAGTTCACCCGGAAGGGAACATAATGGTTGACAGGTATATTCATTGTCGACGTTCTGACAATTTGTCAATCAACTTATCAAGCCTCATTCAGAAACTACAGTCGATTATATATATTCGCTGTGCATGTTCTGATAATTTGTTCACTTCTGTTGTCAGCCCGAGATATACGCCAAAACTAGCGAACCAGCTTGAGAAGCTCGGCGGAGCGCGTTACATGTTTCTGACTCACATGTATGTTCAGGCTGACACGATTCTATATCTATTGATGTGCTTACCGCCTTTTTATCTGGGAGATTGAAGATTCTCTATCTAACCTGTCATCAAACAGTGACGATGTCGCGGATCATCGGAAATGGGCCGAGCGGCTAAAGTGCGAGAGAATCATTCATTCAGGAGATGTAAGAGCCTCAAACACAGAACTGCACCTGTAGAGAAAAACGTAGCAGCGTTGGAATGGTTTGCATTTTGAACAAATCATGTTCTTAGGGTATTTGAATCATACTGTAATTCATAAATTCTAAAATTTATTTTCGCTGATTATCTACTGCAATAACCATGATGATACAGGTAGAGCCTATTACTGCTGATGTCGACTGCCGAGTGTTGTAATTTTTTGCCTGATATTTGTCCTGATTATTTACTGCAATAACCATCATGCTGATACAGGTGGAGGATATCACTGCTGATGTCGAGTGGAAACTTACTGGAAATGGCCCCTGGAACATTGGAACTGATTTTGAACTTATCCATACCCCAGGGCATACCGAAGTAAGAATTTGAACTCAATAAATGAAACTACATTAAATAAGTACTTCTTGCCTCTGGATTAAAGAGGAGGTAAGCTTGGAGATAGGTGCACTATGGCTGCACTGTAAGTTATGAATGCATTGGGTTATCACACTGTTATGTCCCAGATTTTCTTAAACTTCAGATGATGGCATGATATTCTTTTGTTGTTGGGAAATGCACCAAGCTTTTTTTGTGTAAATCTTTTAAATGAAGGCAGCTCGATTGTACCGATCATGGAAGTATTTAGTGGTCTTTCTTAGCAACACGTACTGGGGCACCATACTGATCTTCTTTAACACATCATGATTCCTAATTATATATCCATTTTTGTAGGGCTCAGTCTGTTTGCTGTACAAACCTCTGAAGGCACTATTTACTGGTGACCATGTCGCAAAATCAGAAGAATCAGATGATCTAAACCTCTTTCTGATGTACAGTAAGCAATCAGGTAGCAGAATCCTCCCTTCTTCCCGGCCTTCCTAATTTGTTGAAGATCACTGTTCAATTTTATCAGACGGTAAAATACCTATTGATGTGTCTGCTTCACAACCTTGCAGTGGATGTGCAACTGGACAGCATCAGGAAGTTACTGGACTTCAATTTTGAGTGGTTTTTACCTGGTATGCAGACCTTCAAATGCTGCACATATGAACTACTACCAAAATTCTGCTTCGTTGTTGGATTTGTAAACCATATCATAATTTTTCTTGAACACACATCAAAATGTGTGTCATACTGTACTAGAAGGACACCGAGAAGCCGACAGAACTACAAGGTCAAACAAAACAAACAAAACTGCGGCAAAGGCCAAACAAACTAACTAATACTCCCTCCATTTCAAAATAAGTGTCGCGGTTTTAGTTCAAATTTGACTGTCGCGGACCCCGAACAAACTAACTAATACTCCCTCCATAAGCTAAGCTAACTATTTTCGAAAAAAAGCTAAGCTCACTAAACCGTCGTAAACTATGTCATTTATTATCTTTGGTTCACTCGCTTTTCCTTAACTTGCACTGATTATTGAGTTGTCTCTTTCCAGGGCATGGCTACCGAATCCGATATGAAGATGTATATGCCAAGAATTCAGCTATTGAGGCTCTCCTTGCAGACTACACAAACTAAGGAGCATCTTATGAATTATGATCACAAATTTCAAATATATGGATTCCAGAATAAAGGGACGAGGTGGATATGCAGTCCCAGAGAAATCCTGATCGACGCTACTGCTTTGGCTTTCTTGTCCAAACGCCATCTACTTTATTGTACTCCATCTGTTCCTAAATACTCCCTCCGTTCGGAATTACTCGTCCAAGAAATGAATGTATCTAGATGTGGTTTAGTTGTAGATAACATCCATTTTTATCCATTTTTATGACAAGTAATTCCGAACGGAGGGAGTACAAGTTTTTTTAGAAATTGCACTACAAACTACATATGGATGTATATAGACATATTTTAGAGTGTATATTCACTCGTTTTGCTCCGCATGTAGTCTATAGTTGAATCTCTAAAAAGACTTATATTTAGGAACGCAGGGAGTACATGATATCCCTCTCCTGGATGTATAAGGCTTGGATATACCTCTAGCAAGTTGAAAATGTTGGTGGAGTATCGTGCAATGAATATGTGTTATTGTAGTAGATTCTACCGTGTTTATTAAATGAAATGACTACATCAGGACAGGTTAGTAAATCAAGCATCTGTAACATGTTTGTCTGAAGACTGCTTTTGTCCATTCTAATCGAATATGGGTTGTCATAGACTCATAGGTTGCTCTTCCCACAAGTCGGTATGAAAGAAAGTAAATATCTTTGGAAACAGTCATGCCTAAGTTTGAGCGAACCACCAATCTCTATCGATCAAGGGGGAGAGGTAAGGGAGGTGCTCGATTGCTTAAATATAAATTTGAGTATTGAGGCATTGATCAACTTGTCCTTAGCATTTTGAGGGGTCCAAATTCACATCCAATTGTTGTACCTAAAATGAACTTTTCTGAAATATTTTTGTGAATAGGCATTAGTTTAATGAGATATATGTTGTGATGAATTATCAAAACCACCAGGGGATTAGATACACTTTCAACGCCACCGCCGCCACCACTGATGTAGTAGACAAGGCAACCGCGTGCTCGACTGCCGACGGGGCGGTGAAGGCGGCCTAGTTCCTTGCCGCGGCCAAGACGGTTGCGTGACTGGGACGACGACTCCTCCTTGACGTGACATTTGATTTGGATGCCACGGTTGCGCGGCAGGGATGGTGTCTCTTCCTTACCGTGCCGTCTGATTTGGACATCGTGGTCGCGTGGCAGGGGCGGTGGCTCCCCCTTGAAGCATTGTACAATTTGGACACATGGGTCGCACGGGGGCAGTGGCGAGGGCAGCACCGGACCGCGATCATAGCAGAATCACTCGAGCAGTTGTTCCATCTGTCGCGCTAACTCCTCGTCCGTCCGCGCGGCCTAGGAGAGGAGGGGAGGTTGTTGTTGTTCCTCGTCATCAGATGAGATGGGCTCTGGCTTCACGGAGGAGGGACCCCCTGATCGAATAGGCGCGCGGAGAACAAATTGTTGTCGTCAGACTTGCCAACCAATGTGGTGTGCGGAGGAGAGAAGAGGCGAGGTGATGAGGTAGGGTGTAGCGTTTCACGGCAGTGTCCGGGCGGATTAAATAGCCTGGGCAGGAGAATCGGCATGGCTTGAGTCCGCTAGCGGACAGAGTTGGTTTCTCAGCCGCGTGAGTTTCGCGTCGGTCATCAACATCAATGCGGAATGTGGCAACCAGTGTCTGGTCACGACCGACATGAATACAATGCGGAGAGCAGAGTAGACTGTTTGAGACCCAGCGGAGGAAGGGGCATTTAGATGAGTCCGCGTTGTCACATGCATACATGATGGCATACAGACTCTCCCAAACCGCCTTCAGTTTAGTTCTGGTCCTAACGTTTAGGGGTAAACATTTTTGTTTGACGTCGTTCAATGACACAAAAGATGTCTAAATTATTTGATCTAGACACTAGTACATATGCCCGTGCGTTGCAACGGGCAAAACAAATTGTAAAACCTGCTTCGCCTGCCACTGCGTGACAGTTTTTATATCAACTCTAAAAATTCAAAAATATGGTTATCCGCATCTCTAGTAACATTGTGAAAGTAGTATTAATTTCACCATGTCTACCAGAGTTTCACTAAAATGAAAAATACAAATAGCTAGATTCAACAATGGAGGGAAAACTTGTCAAACTTGTGTTACTTTTGCTTGCTTTTAGCAACTCAATGTTACTTGTTTGAGGGGTGGATGATTTAGAAAAGTATAGCTCCGAATAGAAAGGAAAAGTTTGATTCAAGTATAAAGGAAACTTTTGTCGAACTTGGAAAACATGTATTTTTTAATTCCTTTCAGCAAACGAGAATAGAGATGAGCACCTATCTGACGAGGATCAATCTGCCCGACGAAGCCATCACGAAGGCATCAAGTGGGCCTTCGAGGTGGGCATCCACCGAAATACCTTGTCTAGGAGCGGCTGTAGTGCGGCCTTGGGGATCCTCTTCCGGAAGGTGAGGGGAAGCCCGAGGTATTTGGCCGGGAAACTCACGACCTGGCATGAGAAGATGGCCGCGGCAACTGACAAGTGCACCTATACCCCGTGTCACGTGGAAAACGCCCCCACCCCCTCTGTGTGCGCGTGCTTTGGACCGACCGAACTGCTGTCAGGGCGTCTCCCCTTTTTAACTTTGAAAAATGTCCAGGAATCCGAAATTCGACAAAAAAGTTCCGAAAATCAAAAATTGTTTATGAATTGTTAAAAATGTTCGTGATTCAAAAAAAGTTCTTGGATTTCAAGAACTGTTCACGACTTTAAAAATGATTTCGGTTTTAACATCACAAATTTCAAAACATGTTTCCAAATTAAAAAAATCACGATTTTTCGAAATAATTTTCCCCGAATTTCAAAAAATGTTCTTGGTTTTAAAAAATTGTTAAAAAATTATAAAATGTTCCTAAAATTTCCATTCAAAAAAGGTTCATGTATTTCAAAAAAGTTCATGAATTTGAAAATTGTTACCGTATTTGAAAAATGCTCACAATTTTAGAAAATAGTCATAAATCTGCAAAATGTTCCTGAGTTTAAAAAAATACTTGTGATATGAAATATTGTCACAATTTCAGAAAAAACACGAGTTTTTAGATGTTAATGAAATAATGAAGAAAAAGAAATGGACAAAAAGAAAAGAAAAATGAAACAAAATTCAAATGTAAAAAGAAAAAGGACACCCAAAAAAAGTGCGGAAAAAACAAGCTCTGGGGAGGTTCCAGAAGCTTCCCAAAACCGTTGGGAAATACACATAAAACAGCCGTACTAGGCCAGCCCAATACAATGCATGCGTTGCGGGAGGGTGCGTGTTTGGTCGATATTCATCGACCTACACCGCAATAATGCTACACTTACCAGAAGAGTTTATGGAAACACATTACGGACATTCCTGTGGCCTCCTATGTTTGGCTAGTGTCAGGTGGTTGTTTTGAAAATTGTGCGCTCGGTTGCACTTCAGCCCACCGCCTCAATCTGTAGCTCGTTCCCGTAGGGCTTTAGGTGAATATTGTCCGCCCGTATGAGCCGAGTTGTGAATATTTATAGATCACTGAAAAACCATAATACCACACTACAACAATTTGAAGAAATCTGCAAGTGACTCTAATTTGAATTCACTAGCGTCTTTTTTTCGGTATGCTGCTCCGCGAGAAGGAGCGCGACGAGGAGTAATCTTTCCTCTCCTTTTTTTTAGGGGTAGGGAGTAATATTTCCGTGAGTGTAGTAGAGTTGCCCTTACATCAGAGTAGCATGGGCTTTCCCCTTAACGGGGCGGAGCAGGAGGAGATTGGGAGTAATAAATAGTGTGGCCCATACGTTTGACACCCATTCCGTCTGTTAACTCGTCGGACAAGCCCATGTGTTCGACAAGGGCGACGTGACGCGATATGGACTTTGCACAAGCCCACATGACAAAGCCATCATTTCCCCCTCTCCTTTCTTGGCGCCCACCCCCTTCTCCGCTTTCACGCGATTCCGAACACGAGGGGATCCAACTCGAACTTAAACTAAGTGCAACACGAGGATCCAAATCATCCCGACAGAAAAAGTTGGGGCGACGGCGAAAGCCGCGTGATCCGTCGGTGCCGCTCGCCGAAAAGGTTCCCCGAAAAAGAGGCCGGGTCGGGTCGAGCTCTCCGGCCCGGGACCGGGCAACCAAACGAATGACGCTGGGCTGACGAGGCCGCCGCCGCCGCTGGTCGCCGTGGTCCACACCGCACGGACGCGGACGGTGATCAGGTGGGACTGTAGATCCTCCTCGACGAGGCGGGACGTGCGCGCGCGTGCGTGGCTCGCGACTCGCGAGGGATTGATTGGCCGGCCGGCCGGACCACCCTCGGGGCGCTGAAAGCTATGCGGCGTACAGTGCAGTGCAGCGGCGAATTAACCGCGCCCAGTCCATCTGTCTCCTCCTGGTAGTAGGAGTACAGTAACTCCCGCCACACGTGCGCGCCAGTTCTTCGCTTTCAAACGCAACCAGCTGTGTCCTCTTTTTTTCTTTTCTTTTTTCTTCTTTTTTTTCGGGTGAGCAACCAGTTGTGTCTGTCAGCATTAACTGCCGACCTGCCCTAGAAATGACCCATTCCACGCGTTTCAAGTTCAATTTACCTTAAGCTACACGTACAGATCCCAGCCCTCGCAGAAAGAAGTACTGCTCCAGTATCTGTAGAGATTAAAAATTGGGGTACTGAAAAGAAAAGAAAAATATACTCCTACTTCAGTAGGAGTACTACCCTAGAGAAAAGAAAATAATGGCCCTAGTTAATACTAATCCCTAGTGATAAGTACCCAGCCGGCAGGGCAATGTTCACATGTGGAGAATCACTGTGGTTCCCCTGGCGAGTACGGCGACACGACAAACTTCTCATCAATAAGTAAAAGAATGAAAAAAGAAACAAGAGAAAATAGTTCACGGACAGGAGATCCGACTACGGGCGCTGCCACCGGATCCAACGAAAGAAAGGATTACCCTCCCCACGTTATGTTCTAGAGTCAGCAAGCCCTCACCAACAACAGCTGGATCTCTCTCATTA